GTGGGCGTGGCCGCGGCGAGGTCGGTGCCTGCGAGGAGAGATGCTGGGAGCTTGCAGTGAGTAGTCAGGGCTGTGTGTGCGTGTGTGTGAGAGACACAGAGGGGGAGAGGCAGAGGAAGGAGAGAGAGAGACGCAGGGAGGGAGGGAGAGGAACAGAGAGAGAGACCTAGACGTGCTGAAGACCCAGACAAGGAGCCGAGAGAGGGACTGAGAACACAACGCTGGAGCGCTCAGACAGCCACTCAAGATCTTTTGGGGGAGCCCGATAAATGGGAACATGGGCTCTGTCACCGGAGCTGTCCTAAAGACCCTACTTTTGTTATCTACTCAAAATTGGAACAGAGTCGAAGCCGGGAATTCCTGTAAGTATACAGCAAATGATTTCAAACTTACAGGGGCGAGAGGGGTGGGGTGGGGGGCTGGCTGCAAAACTTTAATTCTGTTGTTTTTATGTTTATTATTTGCAACTGAAATTGCTGCAAAGCATATTGCTGTAAATGAAGCATCACTTAGAAATCCTGCAAGTATGACTGGTTTGTACTTGTCTTTTCTCTTGGTCTGGTCAGAATCTGCAAAATGTTATTTCTTGTTTTGTCTGAGCAGAATCTTACCCTCTTGTCTTTGAATATTCATTGAGAACGCTCAAGTTCTGGTAAGACATTAAATTAGCATTTTAACCAGGGAATAATGTGCGAATGTCTTCATTTCTTCCTTTTTTAAGGTTTACTAAATTTTATTGGAATTATGTCTAACAGGAAAACAACTGGCAGACTTTACATTATGCTGCATTAGCTTAGATTTCTGAAGTTTGCAATTTGGCAGACCAGTAGCTGGCTGCATCTTTCAAATGATACAGGCTAATAACTGAAATGTACTGCAGACTTCAGGAGCAACAGAACTGGTGGAGGCAAACCTCAGTAATGAGCTGTGCCCTCATTGCTAAGAGAATGAGACCCAGAGCATTTCTGAAAGAGGGGCCCATCCCCACATTTTGCTTAAAGGAGAAACAGTCAGGTGATCTTTCAAAAGTAGTATTCTTTAGTGGTTGGATTTTTAAACTTAATAAATGTATGATTGAAGATTCTGATTGAATACAATTGACTCAGGGAAGATTAATTACAACCTTATTTCTTTTTTTACTGAAACATAATTGATATACACATTTGGGGGGTACAGAGTTGACTATCCATACTTGTGTACGATGTGTGATGATCAGATCAGGATAATTAGTATTCATCATTACAAAACATAATCATCCTTTGTGTCCATTAACCAATTTCTCCCTAACCCCCTCTCTTTCCCCCTTTCCCATCTCTAGGAACCACAGTACAACCTTTTTTCTAATGTAAATATCGACCAAAATAATTTGGCAGACTCCTTCCGTCCACTTTTTATTAGAGATAGAAAAAGTTTTAGAAGTTATATTTGACTTAAATTCTCTAAATGAGAGAATTTTTCCCTCCTGATGATGGACAAGCTCTGCAAATATAACTTTTTATTTCTTTCTTGTATTTAAAGGAAAAGCTCATTTAAGAAAGGGCTATGAGGCCTGTTCAGGAATTTATGTTGCCGCTGGGTCACCAGGTTTAGGTTTGGGGGACACAAGCCAGTAATCCGGTACTTGCTGTGGCACATCACTTGACTAAAGTTCTCTGATGTGAGAAAAACATGAACTTACTGTCACAAGCCAAATGTCCATTCACACTGCATGGCTACTATGATTTTGTGTTTCCATTCAGTATGAGCTCCTTTAATGTCATGGTGTGTATCACTCTGAAAGAAGAGAATTTTGTTCCACATGCTGCACTGTGTTTCAGATTCAATTTTGCTTTGGGGGAATAAGAATCCCACAAGTCAATAAAATGTACATAATTTCACCCAGTTAAAATCTTGGAATCCTGTCACAGTAGCATTTGACAGACGTTGCAACAAACAAACAACAGGCAACAACTGAACAAAAACAAATGAAGTTTTATAGAAAATTCATCTTCCAGTTACTGAAGTTCAACCAAAAAGGAAGGCACTAGAGGTCACTCTTACGATGTAAAGCATCTTATCTCAAGCATCCTCCCCTTAAGAAAAGCAGAGCTCAATCTGGCCTAGACTCAGTCCTGTCTTTCCAATATACCATGTATAGTTGGGTTTATAACATGTTAATATGATTAATTGCACTACTAGGTGTTTATGTTTGTTTTCTTGAACCCCAACAAAAAGTGTGAGATGCAGATCAACATTAAATAGCTTTTTTTGTAATGTATCTTCTTAGTAAAGAAGATCTGAGGAGATCACAGTACTCATGCCTGTTTGGCTCTGGCTGGGCCTCCAGCTGAGACTAAAAATTTCAGTCCTGGTTCTGTAATCATTCAGCCTTGGTTTATTCAGGAAGTAGTTTAATGCTCTTCTAAACATTTGATGAACATAAAAATTTTAAATTATTAGGAACATTTAAATTTTAAAACTGGAGTTTTTGGCTAGCATATATCTTAAGAGTTGACTGTTCTTCAAGTGTCAAAAATGTAATTAAATAACTTCATATAATTAAAGTTGCATTCTTGCTAATGTTTTGACAATAAAATTTGCAGCAGTAGACATAAAAGAAAATATTTCATTTTCCAATTTTTATTTTATTCCTCAATATTTAGAAAGTATTTTCTTTTTGGAAGAAGCAGGGTCTACTTGTTACCAAGTCATGGTTGACAATACTTCACGTTTTCTCCTTTTTGGAAGAACAAATACATATGTCTCCCAGCAAGGTTGGAGTTTAGTGTATGGACAAGCTGCCATCAACAAGCATAAGCAGTTTTAAAGTGTTATAATATCTCCCATAATTCTTTTGGACAAGACTTTATATTGACAAAAAATGAATCAATCTTGAATAGCAATGTTAAAGTCAAGGAGAATTCAGTATAAATAAAGAAAATTAAAGATCTGCCTGTCAGATGAATACATAGACCTTTTCCCTTTATTTAAAGCTGATTCACCAGGAGCAAATCTCTTTATCTACTGAGTCAGCCCAAGGCTGCCAGTATGAAAGCTTTCATGGGACAGGACTCTGTAAACCCAGGACAGCTCAGGGATTAGGTAGACTTTAAGTAGAATGTTAATTGATCCAATAAATCAGCAGGGAAACTTTACATAAGAAGAATTCTGTGCAAATACACACATATATGCTCATATATTTGTATATATGTATATAAATATGTATAAACTATAGACACATGTGTTTGCACATTTTTGGTGGCTCTGATAATTATCTGTATAAAAATGAAAAATGTTAAATGGGCCACATTTCTTTGCCCACTGGTGCCCTTTCTGACATTTCAAAAGCAGTGAACCTGCCCTAAGTCTTTTCTCTTTGTTCTGATTAAGATAAGCTTGTTATTAAATTGAGGTGTCTCTTTCAAGAAAGTTTAGAGACAGATCCTTGTAGAAGAGCTCGCTCTTTGAGAAGCTGCACTGGCTGTTCTTAGTTTCTTCACTTGCTACTACACTAAGAAGGGAGACATCTCCCTATTTTAGAATTGCTCTTATGAATTTAGTTTATGAAGATTAAGACATTATTGGGTGAGGGGCTAAGTCACCACAAAAGAAGAAACAGGTGTAAGTAGTAAGGCTAAGAGTTTTGCTTCTATGTTTACTCTTGCAGATCATGTGATGGAGGCTCTCCAGCCTCAGGTGTACTGAACCTTACTCTGAGAATAATTAATGCTCACCAGGTTGCTTACCAATGATTTAATTAGAAGTTAGCTTCTTACTGTGTTCTTTCCTTTCTTTCATTGAAATAAAAGGTATGCCCAATAACTACCCAGAAAGAAGCACTAAAGACTGTGTTAAAATCAATAATAAATGAAAATAGTTAGTTGCCTGAGAAGATGATCACTCTTGTGGGCTTTGGGAAGCAACCTAAATTCAACTGAACAGATTATCAGATTGTTAAAACTCAACCTTGTAACTCTTTCTAGAAGACTCCTTTTTTCTCCTGCACCCCAAAATTCATTTCTATAGCAAAAAATAGCTAGAATACAATAGGAAATTACTGATAAAATATGATTCTATGATGCAGAAGGTCATATGATTCTATGACCTTGATATAAAGGTCAGCATGCACTTTGACTCACTTTTCTAATAGCAATGGGGATTTGTTTTCATCCATTTGGTGCATTCCCCACACTTTTTATTGCCTGCATCCCAAATCATTTTTGATAAGGGCAGCCTCCAGCTCTGGGGGTAGCATAGCTTATATGCTAAGATGGGGAATCAAACATGACCTTCACATGATATCTAGTGCTTACTCTAAGTCATAAATATTATTATCGTCATCTGAAATTAATTTTGGGATTTATACCATATATGAATAATTTCTCTATTAGAGCCAATCTCTATATCAAGATTAAATTGACTTACCTCTTCAATAAAAACCGATTAATAGAATTGTATAACATCAATTGTAAGAGAATGTAATATTTAACTCAGAGGTTGGCAAACTATGCTCCATGGGCCAAATCTGGCCCGCTGCCTGTTTTTGTATGGTCCATGAGCTGAGAATGGTTTTTACATTTTTAGCTGAAAAAAATTTAAAGAAGACTTATTTATGGCTCAAAAAAATAAGAAATTCAAATTTCAGTCATCATTCATTCTTATTAGTAGGCCTGCATGACAAAAATTTGTACTCAATTATTATTATGATATTTTGAATTTTATCAATAAAATCTTGTTAAAATTGTTTTCCCTCTTATGTAAGTAACTACATAATATGTTTTACCATCTGGCCCTTTATAGAAAAAGTTTGTTGACCTCTGATTTAAATAATATACAAGATAATATTATGATGAGACCTAGAGAGTGTACAAGTTATACTTCTATGATAAAATTTAGCACACAAATACATACTTGTAGAGTTGTGATACTGAAGGCAATGCTATTATTGCCAGGAACTATAACAGAAGAAACCTTCAAGTTAATATCTTCCTCATATGTTTCCTCTTAAAGACTTTATTGCTCAGAAATCTTATTTCAGTGGATATGATTTATTTGTAATTATTTGTAAGGTTTCAGCAGTTTTGGTTGCTAAGAGGACATATTTAATCTCCAGTTATCCTATTCGTATAAGATGTTAAATAAAGTGTGTAATTGCATCTTAAATATTATGAATGAAAATTCTGCTGTTATTTTACATTTTCATGGGTATAAAATATTCTACTCCATACCAATCAGAAACTTACATTTGATAGATGAAGGAAGTGCTTAGATAGAAGAGTATTCTTGCCCCCATGACTTTTGAAGCAGCAGCTTCCTAAAAATTTTGAAACTGGCAAACTTTCTAAAATAAATTGAAAAATAGATTTTCATTTAAGCACTGCCC